TGCTGCAGACTCAGTTGGCACTCAGCCTTTCCAGCTCTTGGTACGCCAAGCTCTTCAGAGGGTGACTAGACTTACGATTAGGTTACAGTGGGGCTCTTGAGCCCCTTCAATTTTGAATGTATTTGCTGCTGAGGAGCCAGTGGAATCACCAATTTCTGCACATCCTTCTCCCACCCCAGAAATGCATGGGAAGCCACGGTTTTGGTTTTGAGATGCTAGGGCAGCTCAGCACTCCTTGCCCTCACCCTGCATGTCTTGTTACTGGGTCTCCCTGTGTAATTAATTGTGGCATTATTCCACAACCATCATGTTTCTTAGGTGCCAAACATTTACAAAAATAAGTCTTCATATACCTTATATACCTTGGGGTCAAAGAAAGGGACATGTACAGAAGGACCTTGTTTGTCAGGAGGCTTTACAGTATTCCTGAGGTAGTTGGGGCAGATCCTGGGCTTGGATTTTGGCTAGCAAAAGGCCCAAGAGTCTGAAAGGGCGGGAAGAGGGTAGCCGGTCAATTCTGAGAGCTGAAAGGTTTAGCAGCCTGGTGCAAATCCCCCAACAAGACAATCCCACAGTCTTCTTTGTGGGGGTCCTACTGAGCTTGGCTTGTAAAAAGCAAGGTAGTAGTTTATTTTTGTACCTGAGTCACATCACGTTTTCCTGTGGGCCAGTATTGTGGAATGAGTCTGAGTTGTTTACACTGATGCCTTCCTTCCCTGCCCACCACAAATTGTGTACATAGTCAACACATGATACCCCTCTTCCCCAGCTCCTACTCAAGAGCTGACTCTAGGCCTGTGTTATATGTTAAATTTAGCCTTTTTATATATGACCCTTGATCTGTTTGTATTTGAGCACAGTGTGTGTGTGTCCACTTAAATACATTTGTGCAGACATGCACATACATATGTGTATATGCCTGTCTCTCTCATCTAGTTTATCAAGAGTTCAGCAGGAGAGGGAACCCTGCAGCTGAGAACAGCACTTTGTGGATTGTGTGCCACAGTGTTAGTCTTGTCTGTTAACCTTAAGATACAACACAACTTGAAGCAGAGCTTCTAGTGTTTGCTGTTTCCATGGCAGCTAAGTGGAGGCCTTGGGATGACTCTCTTGTGCTCTTCACGCCACATCCTGGGGCCCTCTCTACAGTATTAGAATCTTTTTTTGCCTGATTATGCTCTGTATGCACCTGTGTATGTGTGACAGTCACTTTTGCATGGCTTCTATGCCTGGCTTGTGGCATTTGGGGACAGGGTGCTGGAACCACAGTGTTTTTAGTTTGTCAGAACTTCTTGGCCAATTATAGGTCACTCTCACATGTTATGTCTGCATCATTGTCCTTTTTCTTGCTTTTTCCGAGGTACTTTAGCTAAGGCTACACTAAAAGAGTTGCAGTTGACCTTTTCTTCCCAGCATGGCTGCCGTAGAGTAGAACAGATGGCCGGCAGACATTTATGCAAGCAGTCCTCCTGCAGATCAAGAAATCAAGACCCAACAGCAGTGATTTGCTACAAGTGCCCAGCTGCTGAGATGCTGGACAGGCTTCCAGTCACTAACACTGTTTGTTTTGTTTTGAGACAGTTTCTCTGTGTAGCCTTGGCTGTCCTGGACTTGCTTTGTAGACCAGACTGGCCTAAACTCACAGTGATCTGCCTGCCTCCGCCTCCCTGAGTGCTAGGATTACAGGTGTGTGCCACCTCACTCAGCTTCTAACACTTTTTTAAGCAATTACTTTTTGACTTGTTATTCCAACTGAAAAGGTGGCCACCTCCACTGAAGTCTGTAAGTATTGCTGACCAATCCTGCTATAAAATTCTGCCTTCCCAGAGTGGATAGACTGTAGGAAGCAGGTCATCTGAGCTATTACTGCCTGTCTTCAGGGCTCAAGGTCCAGGTGTGGAAGAACTGTTGAGAGCAAACGTCTGACTAGATTAATAAGGTTATATAACCTGAAAGAGCAGCTTGCCTGGCTGCAGGATCATTATCTGTGTGTTCAGAGCTAAGGCGCCATTTTCTTGAAAACATACTGCCTCGCAGCTTTAGCTAGACCCTGTGGCAGCAGAGCTGATCTCTGAATTGGTCTGTATAAAAAAAACAAACCAAAAAGATGCACCTGGAACTTCCATGATACTGTATGTGGTCACAGGGTAAGAAAGAGGGACAAGGCGGAGATGGCAGTGTGGGGACTGTTCCTGGAGGTATTCGCTATCCTCTGGAAAACTGGCCAGAGCCTCTGCTCTGTATGGCACAGATGAAACTTCACTGTTCAACCACCAGCCACTGCGGTGTTTTTTGATAAATTCCCTGTTATAACAATTACTGCTTAGGAAGGAAAGGTGGGGGATCTTTAAGAACCAGTTTGCCACCCAAATGGTACCACTGTTAATCTTGATGTTAAATGTTTCTCTAGCTATCTCTGCATAGACTTTGGTGTGTTTACATAGTTGTTATTCTACTGTACATACAATTTTACGTCCCTTTTGTACTTAACATATAAACTTTTTTTTTTTTTTTTTTTTTCATGTTACCAATCTTAAGCAGAATTCTATGGCTTATGGTCTCTTCCATTGGGTTTTGGTAACTTTGCCTGCTTCTCATGTGAAGGAACGGGTTCCTGGCTCATCTGGAGCTGCCTGTAATGTTGTGTGAAACGTTGGGCATTCTTCAGGCCTGTGGGCAACAGGAAACCCCTGGGCACAAACAATCCCTTAACTCCAGACTCCAGCTAAATTACCGCTGTGCTAGTAATGAGTGACTAGAAAAGGTGAGCTCCTCAGGAGCATCTGCTTGTGTTCCTCACTGTTTACCTCAAACTTTGATCGGACTGGCAACCTCTTGTTAGAATTAGTTGCACCCTACCGGGCCCTGTGTGATGGAAGGTGGGCAGTACATCTGGCAGTACAACTAGCTGGTTGCCTTGGGAGCCGCTGCTTAGCTGATACATTGGAAATTGTTAGAACTCTCGGACCTGCTTCCCTGACTGAACCACAAAAGGTGAAAACCTTGGCCTGCCACTTTGGAAGAAAATATCCTGGTTTGGGTTTAGTTGACTATGTTAGCTTTTCCTGCTTATACTACTCTTAAGAGTAAGAGACCCATCAAAGCTTGGTGGGAATGCTCAGCAAGACGGATCAGCAGCTGAAAGTGCTTGCCACAAAAGCATTGACTGTCATTCTGTTAGACTGGGGGATTGGGAGGGATTGGGAGCTCGGCTTCCAGGCGGAAAGCCGGGGTTCCATTTCTCTCAGACAGTTAGAGCCCTTCAGGGTGAGGCACATGTGTGCTAGGCCAGGGTGTGAAAAGGGTTTTCCACAGTGTTTCAGTTTAGCCCTTTTAGCATGCGATCGACAGTAGCAACAAGCTCAGGGTTTCCAAAACCTATAGTGATACCAAAGTGTTATAGCTCTTGGTTAAGCTGCTGTGCTAAGGATGGCAGGGTGCTGCCAGCAGGGAATGAATGATGAATCTCAGGTCATGGTGGAAGGCTGATGATATCACGCAGCCAGTCAGCAGCATGCACCCGAGTACCCCATTTATTTGAAATCAGGGATTTATAAACCTTTGGGCAGTGGGAGTATTTCAGGGGTGAATGTTTGATTTGCTGGGGTTGGGGGGTCATAAATGCTTGATTTGCATGTGCCTCGTTTTCCATGAGGCATGATCCTATCACAAGAAGGAAGTACTTCATTATCCTATGGGTGAGGGGAAAATCTCCCAAGGACAGTTGGAGGTCACTGCTAAGGACTAAGATCTTTAACAGGATGGGACATTTCTAGGAATTCCTAGATGCTTGCTAGAATGGTTTCCTTATGAGGGAATCTGCCCTGAGGGCTATATGATGCTCCTTATAAGACATGGGACCGTTCAGATCAGGGGAGACTTAGAACCCACTGAGAAAAGGGAGTGAGACATCAGGCTTCAACCTTATCCAGCAGAGCCCACACACATCACAACCTGAGTTCAGTCCCCAGATCCCATGGTGGAAGGAGAAAACTACTTGCTGAAAGTTGTCTTTAGATTCCCATGGCATGGGCACCCAAAATCAGAAAATAATAAAAGGAAAGCCTGCTGCGGCTACTTCTGACATGCTTGCAATCGAGAGACCTGTGGGCCCACTTGCTAGTTGTGTATGAACAAGAACAGGCAGTAGGCTGTGGGGGCGAGCTAGCTGTCTCAGCAGTTGGTACGGCAAGAGGCAGGCACAGGATGTTGCCTACACTTTGCTCAGAGAAGATGTGGAGGACGTGTCGAAGAAAGGAAACCAAACTCAGCAGCCTTATACAGTAGCATTCTAGCATCTACCAGCTGCCTGCCTGGGACTTCAGGGGCCAAATAGGGTTCTGTGTGTTTCTGTGCACATGTTACATAGGAAGTGGAAAAACCCAAAGTGTTCTGTCCTGTCTTTCCTGGATAACAAATAGGAAATGAAATCTAAGATGATGAAATGGAATTAAAGGCCAGGGCCACCACTGCCCAGCAGGCAAGTTAAGGGGAAGATTGAAGTAGTTCATCAAGCAGCCTTATGTAAAGCCCTTATTACTAACATGTCTGTCACCAGGAGTCTAGTAGCGGTCCAACGTGTGTAACTTCAGTACTTAGGCTGAGGGAGGAAGGTCATTAAGCTGATGCCAACTTAGGCTGTGAAACTTTAAGACCAGCCTGGCCTGCAGGGTGAGAAACCTGTCACTCTGGAGGCAGAAGCCAAAGAATCACAAGGTTGAGGCCACAGTACAGTTTCAGATCTGACAAGGTAGTGAAACTCTTGCAAAGCAAATTTCTAAAAGTGAAAACTCAGCCCTTCTGCCATCTACCTCCAATCCGGAGTTGACACGTTTGAAAGGTCTTTTCATTCCTCGGCAACAACGAGGGGCCTGAGCATAGGTAACAGTCATGATTACATGCTTATTTGCATGGTAGAACTAAAAGGAAACCACTGAGGCCACAAGAAATGGCAAAAGTGTCAGCCAAAGCTGTGTGAGCAATTCATGATTCACAAGGGCTCTTTTACATACAAACATTTAATAATGGATGTCAGCTGTGCCCTGAAGGAACAATGCAGACAATGTAGGATAGCAGGTGAGTGAATCTTTGGAGGGAGGGGAGAGTAGAGTGGACAGGAGGGACCAGAGTGGGTTGGGACAACACTAGGCAACTAAAAACAGAAGGTTGGAAACAAGAGAACTGGCTGGCTGAGCAGTGTTTGTACTTGGCACGAGGTCCCTTGGTGTGTAAGGCAAGCCTGGGACTGGGGAAAGCAACCAGGCTCCAGGTAGTGACCATCAGCCCAGCCAATGCTGGAGGCTTCTCACACACCTTTTTTACTCTCCTAACTATCTGTGTGTGACCTGTGCCCTTCAAAGCACAGACAGAGGAGGGTAGGATCTGAACTGGTCTCAGGAGCTGTCTTCAAGATGGTTGATCCAGCCAGGTGTTGTGGCACACTCTTAATCCCAGTTCTCAGGAAGCAAAGGCAGGTGATCTCTGCGAGTTTGAGGCCAGCCTAGGCTACATAGCAAGTTCCAGGACATCCAGAGCCACATAATCAAGACCTCTAACTTTAAGAAAAGAAAAAATTTAAGGTAGCTTTAATCTTAGATTAAGCAGCTGTAAGGCTGCTCAGAGGTTCCAGCAAGGCCCCTTGTGTGGATTGTTGATTAAATGCAGGGACTGAACATTTATGGGTTGAAACCAAATGAGCTGCCTTGCTCCCCAAGGCTTCTTAGTGCCCTTAACCCTTTAGGCTGCTGAGGAGTCGGTGTGGATACCACATGTTGTGAAGGACCTCTGCCAGAGGGATGTCACCACTGCAGAAGGTGGGACCTGGGCTCTTTATCCACTGCTCCCTTCCAAATAAGTTGATGCAGAAAGCAAAAGCATTTGGCATGCTCTTGGCCACAGTGGACATATGCCCAGACTGTATTGGTCCTGAAGAGTCTCTAGAATGCAGTATCTGAATCCTCAGTGGCCACTGCCCCCTTGGCCGTGGCTGTGCAAAGGGATCACGAACACAGAGATGTCATCATAGGACACCTGCCCTTCTCCGGTGGCACCATCGTCCTTCCCCTGTGTGTTGTGTATCAGCACTTTGGCCAGCTCTGAAAACCTGTGAAGACCACCTGCATATGTACTTTGGATATAGAGCGGAAGGCCGGCCCTCCAAAACTCAGTGCGCAGCAAAGGCCCCCTGGAAGACCCCCTAGATGCGGTGCAACTGTAGGACAAGCAATAGGCCTGAAACACCCCAAACTAGATACCGGACTGCACCTGGGTCGTTTTGTTTTTGTTTGTTTGGTTGAGTGTTTGCTCCTATCCCCTCCCTTGGGAAGCCACCTGCTCTGAATTAGTACCGTCTTCGAAGCTGTAGCTACTTGGCCATTGTCGCTGGCACTAACGCAGGTCCTCGGGTCCCCCTCAGGTACAGTACCTGTGTGGGTCCCCTCGGTTCCCAGAGAGGAAGCTCCGCACAAGCCGTGCCACCTGCTCATTGGACAGGACATCCCAGAGCCCATCAGTTGCCATGACAACCACATCGTCTTCCTTCGGTACCAGCTGGTCCATATCCAGCACAGTCACCTGCAAGTTAAGCCTGAGAATCCTCCAGTGCTCCCTTCCCAGCCCCTGCCAGGTTCATTCTCTAACTTTCTGGGCAGATGGAAGCTGGGCTACATTGCCCTGTCACCTGTGGGATGGAGAGCAAGAAGGGCTTGAGCTGTATATTGGTGTCCAGAACTGTGAGCTGATGGTCTCCCAGGCCTCGGGAGACAGCCAGTGTTCCCAGTAACCGAGCCTGGGGGAGAGGGAGAGATGAGATGATAGGAGTTTAGCACATGCCCAGGGCCTGGCTCTGCTGAGCACAAAGGAGGGCATGAACAATGGCTCCTAGCAGGGAACAACTAAAGAGGGATTCTCGGAGGGGGGCACTGACCTGCCTACCCTGTCCATGAATCAGTGGGTACTTGAGATCGGACTTTTCCACCTGTTTGTAGCTCCTGCAGGAGCGGACTTAGAATCAGCTGAAGGCCTGCACTCTACTGCAGTCTCTCCCGCCCTGAAGCCCAGCTCCACCCAGGTAGGGCTGCCTCGGGCCGCACAGGTGAGCCCAGACCCTGGACCTCCTCCCGCTACACCCGCCCACCCCACCGGCTCACCAGCCACTCATGTGATGGTCCCTGAACAAAACCTTCTGCCCCAAGTCATCCCCCTTCAGCCGCCGTGGAAACTCCAGTCGGGTGAACTCACCAGCCAGAAGCTCGGGGTAGATGAAGGCCTAGGGTAGGGAGGCCACTTGATCAGGCTCCCTCTTCGACCCAGGGAGTTGGCAGTCCCCCTGCCAAGGGCACCTACCAGCTGCTGGATCCGCTGCCGCTCTGTTTCTGGGGTGAACTCGGAACTCAGCAGCCGTACCTCATCTCTCCGCACTAAGATGGCCCTGAACGGGTTGGAGGCAAGGAAGAGGTCTATGAAGCAACCTGCATTCTCACCATGGCCACCCTTCTCTCCAAACACCAGGAGCCTTGCTCAAACCCCTCCAGGACTCCAGGACCTACAGAGTAAAGGTACAGCCCTTCAGCATGGCCTCCATGACCTCTGACTGTTTTGGCATCCCTCTCCAACCTTATACTTGGCTTATGCCAAGTACAAATGCATCTCAGTCAGCCAGTCCTCATTTCTGACCCTCCTTTTATTGTTTTTAACTCCCGCTACCCCGACCACCCTCCAATGGTCCACTCACCTGCTATCCCCAGCATTGGCCACATACAGCTTCCCTTGCAGGGATACAGCCACCAGGGCTGTACAGCCACCCACCTGGCCTGAGGCCTCCAGCTCTCTCCCAATCACATCATCCTGGAGCAAACCAAGGTCATTATAGCTGCTGCCTGAGCTGGCCACCATCTCCAGTCCCCAACCCCTTACAACTGCATTTCCCACAAGCAGGCCTACAAATCTTGATCACTGACTCCTGAATTCCTGTGTAAAGATAATTTCACAAGGGAAGTGTAATTCAGAACAGGAAGAGAAACAGTGCCTGCACCGAGAGCCAAGAGCACATGCAGGTGAGCAATTAGCACACAACAGGAACTAGATCAGTGGGAGGACAAAGGGAATCAACACAGCATTCTCTCCACAGCCCAAGGAATGGGGTGACTATGTTGAGCAGTTATACCCCAGTTTCTTAAGCCCCTAGGGAAAAATTTCTCTTCTCCCCGTAGGCCCCACTCACACATTCCTGGAAGGCGCTCTCCAGGGCCCCAATCACCAAGTCTTCTGCCCGGATGCCCTTTTCCTCCACAAACTGGGGGTCACTGGAGCAGACACAGCGGCCACTGAGATTCATGGGGGGCCGAGTGGCCATCATGCCTTCTACCACAGCCTCCAGCTGCCGGCGCAGGCAAGAGTGCAGGGTGTTGGCAGCCAAAATGGCTGCGGCAGGTCCACCGTGCCCATCAAACAGTGCCCAGTAGTGACCTGTCAGGAACTGTACAGGAAGGGCTCTGTGTCAGGCACCACCTAGCTTCCCCAGCTGTCCCCTGGCCCAGCCTGAGCTAGGCCATGAGACAGCAAGGCAGGAGTCGCCTGGACCCGGCCTGAGAGCAGGGTCCGGGCTGGGCCGTCCTCACCTCCTCCGGGCACACCGTCAGCCACTCTTGATCTTCCTCAATCCCAAACTCACATCGCCGGATGCACAGCTTCCCACAGGCGGCCTGGTCCTCATTGAATTCAGATTTCTCTGCATTGATAATCCTGAGGCCATGAAATCAACAGTGACGTCTCATCTATGTCATGGCGGGCACAGAGACTCCACTTGGGACAACTGTTTCTGGGTGCTATCCCTGACACATCTGGACAGCTTATTTCTTTTTAAAGTGTGTGTGTGTGTGTGTGTGTGTGTGTGTGTGTGTGTGTGTGTGTG